TGCAGAGTTCACTGAATACTGTATTCTGGGGGATAAGAAACTGTACCTTTGAATATTTTTGCAATCAATTCAAAACCCTGAGGCTTATTCAGCAACCGTCTCACTGAACCATGTTAAAAGAAAATACACCAGTGATTTTATATTTCTGTGATACATCTGGAGATGAACAGTGGGTAAAGTGGATGGTGGCAGTGCCCAAAAGACATTCGCCTTAGCTGGATATGGTGGAGCCTTTAATTGCAGTACTCAGGAGACAGAGGCAAGAGGGTTGTTGCGAGTTTGAGGGCATCCTGGTCTACAGAGTGAGCTTCAAGTCAGCCAGGGCTATACAGTAAGACCCTGTCTCAAATGTAAATTCAGCTTTACTAGAGATGTTTTTTTTTCTTTTATTTTCTTTCTTTCTTTCTTCCTTCCTTCCTTCCTTCCTTCCTTCCTTCCTTCCTTCCTTCCTTCCTTCCTTCCTTTTTCTTTTTCTTTTTCTTTTTTTTGAGACAGCATTTCTCTGTGTACCCCTGGCTATCCTAGAACTCTATCTGATAGACCAGGCTGGCCTCAAACTCAAAAGATCCACCTGCTTCTGCCTTATAAGTGCTGGGACTAAAAGCACCAGCCAGGGAAATTTTTTTCACTTTAACAAAAGAGGAAAAGTTGGCTGTATAGGCCAACTTTTAGGCCAACACGTATAGGCCTGTGATTTCAGGGGCTAAGGTGGTTGAGGTAGCTGAAGAAGGAAAATTAAGAGTTCAAGGCCTGGCTAAGCTACAGAGTAAATCCAATGCCACACTTGGTACCTCAGCAAGACTTTGTCTCAAACTGAAAATACAAAAGGGGAGGAGATTTGTAGCTCAGTGGTAAGGTGCCTGCCTAACTTCTGCAAGGTCTTGGGTTTGATCCCTTCCTATCACCACCACAAAAGAAAGAGAGAAACCAGAGTACATGATGTTTTTTTAAATAAAGGTAAGGAAGAAAATGTGGAAAATTCAATAGCAGAGGCCAACTGCGAACAATGGGAGTATGAGTGACAATTTTTAAGGAAATTTTAGATTTGTAAAAATTATCATTACATTTTGCTTCTTTATTTTGTGTCCATGTGTGGGTGTGTGAGTGTGTGTGTGGAGGCCAGATGACAACCTGTAAGATCTGGTTCTTTCCTTCCACCCTACCCACTGAGCTATCTGCCGGCTGAGCCATCCTCCTGGCTCCTATTTTTGTTGCTTTGTTGTAGCACATAATGGCACTGAACTTAGTATATAACCAGACAGTCTCCACCATCTGTTCCTCCTGTCGCTTCCCATCAAGTGCTGGAAATAAAAGTATGCATCATCAACCCAGCTGATTTCCAAGGTTGTTGTTGTTATTAGTCTATTTGTTTACTTTATGTCCCATTGGAGTGCCACCTCCTTTATCTCTTCCCAGCCCCTTTCTCTCCCCTCCCCTGTCTCTCTAACTCCCTCCCTTTCTCCTCAGATATCCCATGGATATCAACCCGCCCTGGCATATCAAGTTGCAGTAAGATTGGGTACATCTTCTTCTATTAAGACAAGACAACCCAGTTAGGAATCCAAAGGTAGGCAACAGAGTCAGAGACAGCCCCTGCTCCTGCTGTTAGAGGTCTTTCATGAGGACCAAGCTGTACATCTGCTGTATGTGTGAATGCTTTGGCTGTTTGTGCACCACATGCTCGCCTGGTGCCTGCAGAGGTCAAAATCAGATACTGAATTCCCTAGAACTGGTAGTTGGACACCATGTGGGTACTGAGAATTGAACTCCAGTTCTTTGCAAGGGAACAAGTGCTCCTAATCACTGAGACATCCAGCCCTCCTCTCCCTGATTTCAAGTTTTAATAAAACTCACCACTGGGGCCAGAGATATAACTGTAGTAAAAAGCTATTTGCCAGACACTAAATTCAAAGTCCTGTACACAAAAATAAAAATTTCATCTGGGAATCATTCATTTCTTTTCAAGCTAAGAAACCCTGGGAAAAAGATTTGTTTGGAACTGCAAAAGCATCACAAAAATATCAGAATTTCTTTGTAACATGCCATAAGGTACAGCCAGTTCCCCACATTAGTGCTCTGTATTCATTTCCCTAATTACTTTTCTCCTCACTGTGACAGACTTGTCAACAGAAACCACTGAAGAGAAGAGAGGTGGCTCTGGTCTCATGCTTAAGGGATACAGTCCATCGAAGTACGACAGCTGACTCAATTATGTCTATGGCACTGACACTACTGGAAATAGTGGAGTGCTTGCTCCTGCCTTCTCCCTTCCATACAGGAAGCCTGGCTGGGATGTAGCCTCTAGGACCCACCCTCATTGACCTCCTTATGCCAGCCAGGCCTCAAAGCTGCCATTTTAGAACTGCCAACATATGATCTTGAGGTCTGGTGGGATGGCTCAGCAGGCAGAAGGACTTATGCCAAGGCTGATGCTGAGTTTGTTCCTCAGACGCACACAGAAGAAAACCAACTCCTTAGGTTGTCTTCTAACTGCTATGTTAGGGCCTTGGCATGTGCACACCTACCACACATTTACCCATACTCACATTTACATGCAGAATGAATGAATAAATGAATGTAATTTTTAAAAAGAATATGATCCTGTTGGGGATAATATATAGTCAAATGTAATACCTTCCTTTTCTTTTTTCTAATTTTTAATTTAAAATTACATTAACTTATATATCTACCTACCTTTATTAATTTGTTTATTTAGTTATGTATTCAGTCATTCATTTATTCTGTGTTTGTACACCATGGCACACATGTGGTTAGAGGGCAACTTTCCAGGAATCCATTTTCTCCTTCTATCGCATGGGTCCCCAGGATCATATTTAGGTTATTAACCTTGGGGACTTTAACTGCTGAGCCGTCTTCCTGGCCCCAGTACCCCCCTTACTTATAATTCTTATGTGCATATACATAAAATACATACTGTGATATATTATATGTAAAATATTAACCTTAGTATCATAATCATGTATTTTACTATTTGTTTTATATTTATCACTTACATGTTACATAGTTATTAATTTATACATAGTGTTTGTTTTGAGACAGGGTTTCTCTGTGTAACAGCACTGGCTGTTCTGGAACTCACTCTGTAAACCAGGCTGGCCTTGAACTCACAAAGATCCACCTGCCTCCACCTCCTAAGGGTTGAGATTAAAGGCATGCGCCACTACTGCCCAAATTTATATATATTGCCACGACTAATATGTTGCTATAATGAATGCATTGTGTGAACAACAATATATGTGCACAGATATGAGCACTTCATGTTATATCCAAAATATAATATGTGTATTAATATGCATATATATAAAAGACCGAAAAAATATAAATAAAAAGGAACATAAACAAAGTGCAAATGTACAGTAGCTGATGTTTTACGTCTATAATCCCAACAGTGGGAAGGCTGACAAAAGAACTGCTCTGTGGTCCAGGTCAGCCTGTTTTACATAGGGAGTCTGGAAGGTCAGGCAAGGTGACAGTGTGAGAGCCTGTCTCAAAGGAAACAGAAATAAAATCCAGCATTCTTACTTCTGGTTATACATCCAAAGAAAACAGGACCAGAACCAGGCTTAGTAGTGCATTTCTGTAATCCCAAACATTGAAGATTTGAGGCAGGAGGATCATGTGTGTGAGCCCAACCTGAGCTTTGTAACAATACACTGGCCCTAACAAAAAATACAAACAAACAGAAAACTCACCACCAACAAAAATATGCTAGGAAATAAAATCAAGATGGTGAAGAAATATCTGTACTCCTAGGTTTGTTACAGCACTGTTCAGAGTAGTCAAGAAATTGAATCTACCGATGTGTTCATGAATAAAGAAAATGCGGTATACATATATAATGGAATACTATTCAGCCATATAAAATAATTAGATCTTGTCAACCGCAACAACACTGAAGAAACCATAGGCCATTATGTTAAGTAACTTAGACCAGGCACCAAAACAGGATAATCACATTAGTGTGCAGAACCTAAAGAAAGTTATCTCATAAACGTTTTTTATTGTTAGTTTTGGTGTTTTTGAGACAAGGTCTCATATAATTCATACTTACTATAGGGTTGAGTATGACCTTTAACTCCTGGTCCTCCTATCTGCACAAGTGCTGAAATCATAGGCAAGGACCACCATGCCTGGCTGGAATGTGAGAGTATAGAATTTATATATCTCAGGAGAGAGAGGCTGGTGAGGAGATAGACTGGGGAGGGAGAACTCTTTAGCCCAGGTTGGCTTGAAACTCACAGTGTAGCCCATGCTGGTATGGAGCTTACGGCAAGTCTCCGGAATCACTCTCTTGAATGCTGGGATCACAACTGTGAGCAACCCCATAGGATTCACAACTCCCAAATGTATATACCCAGGCTCAGGTCCATTCTCAGTGTTCAGACATAGGCCGAACTGCCCATATGACAGTTACTTTTCTATGTTAGAATCTTATCAGATTGACCCCGAGGCCCCTAAACCTCCTACCTTTGCAGCTTTCACAAGTCAGACGATGGAAAATTGAATGATCTAGTGACCCAGAAGTCTGTACATCTGTTGAATCTGTTCTGGGCCACACAAAACCTAGGACAGTAAGGATGATGGAACAAATAGGTTGAGGTGAGGCTTCCAGCATCCTCCTCATGAAGAATATTAAGGTACACTGTCTGTTGTCAGCTCAGAAGGCGATCCTGGTAGGAAGTGTCTAAAAAGGACAAATCATGAGATCAGCTAAATCTCAGGATCCACACCGTTACACTAACCCTAAAATGGGCAAATCCCTTTGCCTCCCAAGCTCTATTTCCCTGGAAGAATGGTGGTCTTAACCCTATTCCTGGGTTCTTCACACAAACTCAGTCCTCTAGATGTCCCGGCATTTGAGAGAAACTGGAACCGTTAACGCCTTTCACATTGGGCAAGACTTACTGGGGAAAGCCTTACCAGTCTGGTCGGGCATAGTTGAAAAACTACATCACCCAGAAGACTATACTGCGCTCAGGCCCAATAATGGAGCAGGACGGGTGCACTTCTGGGTTGCTCGCCGCAGACGCCATTGCCTTAGCACTTTGGTTCCCAGGGGGCTTGAGTTAACTAAATGCCGGAAGCCTAGGCTTGTAGCCGCGTTCTGGATGGTCTCCTCCGGGGAGCAGCGACCTCGAAGCACTCGTCCTTCAGCGTGCAGCAGTCAAGGGCAGCGGTTTGTCATTTCCACGGAAGATCCCGCGGTCCCGAGTCCAGCCGATTTCTGTGGTCCCCTGGCCAAGGCCAGACCGGCGTGGGGAGGTTGAGCCGAGGCCTGCAAGGCGCTCCATCCACCTCATCCTGCCCACGAAAAGTCCAACTATGGCGTTCGGGAAGAAACATACACAGGTGAGTTGTGAGCTTTAAATCGCTCCTCATCCGAAGGCCCCGGTGAGCTCTACCGTTGTCATTTTTGGGGAGGGCATAGTAGGGCCACCTAATTTGTTAGTGGTTCTAGATGCCGCCTAAAGCAGGGAACTTCCCAGAGACTCATTCTCCAACCAAGGACTATTCATGGAGATAACCTAGAACCCTGACAATGCAGCCACTTCTGATGAGGACTGATAGACTAAGATCAGAATGAAGGAGAGGAGAACCTCCCCTATCAGTGGACTTGGGGAGGGGCATGCATGCAGAAAGGGGGGGGATACAAAATGAATAAAGTGTAATTAATAAAAGTTAAATAAAAAATTTTAAAAAATGACACAGTGGAAAAAAAAAAAGATACTCAGTTTGAACTATAGTTTCCGGAAGGAAGCTGCATCTGACAGCAGATTGACTGATTAGAATGCCAGTGAATGAGAAGGGATTGGTACTTTGCAGGTCAAGACCCTGTTTACCCTGTTTAATTATCTTGGGCTATCTTTAACCCCCTTATAATTATTCCTTGCTTACCTCAGTGTCTGACTTAATATCATTGTGAAACATAGACGAAACATTTTGGATGTGTTAGCTTAGCAGACCTCTAACTTCCACCAACCAGAAATCTTAAATCAATCAATCAATCAATCAATCAATCAATCAGATAGCATTTGAAGCCTGTAGCGAAAGTTTCTTCACTGAACTCTAACCTGCCTGCCTGATATATATGTGAGTTGTCGAGAGCAAGAAGGTAGATGTAGTTAGTATAACAACAGTTATATTTTATTATGATGTCATCACATAATGTCCACACACTAAAGGTTGTTCACCTGTGCCATGTATCTTAGCTGAATGACAGTTCCAGTCTCTAAAGGAAGTCTCTTTGAGGGTTAGGATCCTGGGATAAACTCTCCAACTGTAGGGCAGATTAAGCTGGTATCTCTCCAGATGTGCAAAGCAGAACGTTGCTCTTGGTCTCTGCTTATATACTGTCCAGTGGGCATCATGCGGTTCTAGGACAGTGTCTGGCTATCTTGAGTGAGTGATGTCACTGGATTCTAGTTATCAGGTACAGCCCTGGATGTAGTGGAGTTCCTGACTAAGCTATTTTTATATGTCTAAGAGGCATTTTTACTATATCATTACATGAGTGTATTTGCAAATATCTTGATGTATGCCCTTCCTTGTTTTGTATCTTAAAACCTTTGGAACATGGCATTTGGGTTAACCTAAATCTGAGTTCCAGGGTCATGGTTCCCATATTTGGCTTCAGAATAAACTCTTACGTGCTTTGAGGTGAGAGCTGTGCTTTTTATGTTATCATGGATAAGTTGTTGCAAGAGTAAATGATGCTCCAGTCATACTATTAACTCCTACTATGCCTGGGGGGAGCCACCCAGACTGACAGACCTCTGTGCAGCAGTGCTGAATTGGGAAAGGCAAGGAAGCTAGGGCAGTCCTTTTAGAGAGACATGCTTGGAGGAATTCAAGGTATATTGGCCATTTAAGGAGGTCCAGCCAGTACCTATGAGGTTACTGTAGCCTTCTCCATATTAGCCTCCAATCATGAGAGCCACAGCTGGCATTATTAATCCATGACCATTTGTGTTTCCTAGTTTTGAAGTGTCTTAGCATTAGGGACAAGGGCTGTAACAATCCAGCAGGGAAAAAGAGGGACATCTCCTTGTGGAATTTCTCTGGGAGTCTAGGAGGCCTAAGAAAAGTCTAGGCCACTCAGGAATCTGATCAGGGCTTTGTCTCAAGTAGATTCTACTACCTTTCTTGTTGTTCTTGTATTCAGACAAGGTTTTACTCTAGCCGAGGCTGGCCTCAAATTCTGTGTCAGCCCCCATAGTGCTGGGAATACAGATGTGAGCCACCACAACCAACTCATGCACATTTCTTGTGAAGCCAGCTAAAATATCTAGTCTTGTTAGAAGGGTATTTTTCAGAAGTGATTAAGTGGATTTATCAGAAAAAAAAAAAAAAAAAAAAAAAAGAACAGAAACACTATACAAACTCACTAGGCTAGTCTCAAACTCACAGATATCTGCCTGCCTCTGCTCCCAAGTGCTGGATTAAAGTGTGTGTCACAAGTGCCTGGCTATAAAAATCTATCTTTCTTTCTTTCTTTCTTTCTTTCTTTCTTTCTTTCTTTCTTTCTTTCTTCTCTCTCTCCCCCTCCCTCCCTCCCTCTCTCTCTCTCTCTCTCTTTCTTTTTTTCAAGACAGGGTTTCTCTGTAGCTTTGGCTGTCCTGGAACTCAGTCTGTAGATCATTCTGGCCTCGAACTCACAGAGATCCGACTGCCTCTGCCTCCCAAGTCCTGGGATTAAAGCCGTACACCACCACCACCTGGCCATAAAAATCTTTCTTAAGTGATATGTTTGCATAACAGTATGTGCACATGAGTACAAGTGCCCTCCAAGGCCAGAACAGGCCATCCAATACCTGGTGCAGGAGATAATGATGTGAGTGCTAGGAGCCAACCTCAGGTCCATTGTTGTTAGCCTCCGAGCCAGCTCTTCAGCTCTGTAACTCCTTTTTGGAATAAGTTTGTTATTTTAGATTCTCTTTGCTATTAATGGAGTATCAAGATTGCTATTACAACTTTAAACCCATGTGCAAATCCTTCCATAGTAGCATGTGATTCCAGCTTAGTTGGTAAAGCGCTTTAGCCTCAAGTTACTGCTCTGTGAAGACCTGATTGATGGTGACCTCAGCGACTGTAGAACATTAAGAATATTTTCACAGCGAGCATTAGAGAATTTCTCTTTTAAAACTTCCTGTTGTCCGACAGAACTATTGTTTTTTTTTGTTTGTTTGTTTATTTAGTGTGCATGCATGCATGTTAATGGGTGAGGAGATCAGAGGACTACTTAAGGGAGTTGCTTCTCACTTTCCACCATGTGGGTTCAGGGCTTGAATTCAGGTCATCAGGCTTGACAGCAAGTACCTTTACCCATTGCGCCATCTTGGCAGCCCTAGAGAATTACTGTTGTGAACTGTCATGGAGAGGCTCTGCCTGTTAGCTGTACAGCATCACCTTTGTTTCTTCATTCCTCTGGTTCCTAGAATGCTGTAGTTCCACACATTTTTGCTGATGTTATCTGTCCTTCTGGTTTTGTGTGGGGTAGTGGTCTTTTCCATATTTGTTTGTTTATGCTATATATTTCAAAGCTTTATTTATGGTATGTGTGTGTGCATGCATGTAACAGCTTGAGAATAGAGGTCAGAGGACAACTGGAGGGAATTCGTTCTCTTTCCAGGTATTGAACTCAAGTTGTCAGGCTTAGTGGCAAGTGCCTTTACCCACTGAGCTATCTTGCTTTTTTTTTTTTTTTTTAAGACAGAGTCTCACATAGCCCAGGCTGGCTTTGAGCTTGCTATATATAGCCCAGGTTGGCTTCATGCTGGGATTATAGGTGTGAGTTGCCAGGCTCTGATGACTCTTGCATGGGCAGCCTTTCTCTATCTACCTGTGTTCCCTGAGCATCATCTTCCAAATCCTGGGTCCCAGAATGGAACATGTGTCTGAAGAGACGCTGTGTGGTTTGGGCCTTCGTCTCTCTTAACCTCTTTCAGAGAGGCATGGGCCAGCTCTTCTCATCAAACCCCAAGGCTAACACTGATTCCTCTCTTTGACTTTGCAAGGTGTCTCTGACCTTTGAAGATGTGACTGTGGCTTTCACCCAGGAGGAGTGGGGGCAGCTGGATCCTGCTCAAAAGAGTCTATACTGGAAGGTAATGATGGAAATCTCTGGGTTCCTGGTCTCTCTGGGTAAGGCTTTCTACTCTAAATTTTTTAAAATTTATTTTACTCATTTTTATACACATTGGTACACATGTGTTATATGTGGAGTTCAAAGGGCAACTTGCAGATACTCAGTTCTCTTCTTCCACCGTATGGATCCTAGGAATCAAACTCAGATTGCCAGGATTGGTGGCAAGCAGCTTTATCCACTGCACCACTTCCACTACCAGCAGCAGCTTTTTGTTGTTGTTGTTTTTTATTCTTGACACAGGGTTTCTCTGTGTATCCTTGGCTGTCTTGAACACACTTTGTAGACCAGGCTAGCCTCTAACTCATAGATATCCACCTGCCTCTTCCTTCGTGAGTGGTGGAATTACAGATGTGTGCCACCATGCCTGGCTGTACCATCAGCTTTTTAAAAGCAAGATCTCTCATTCTGTAGTGCAGGATGACCTGGAATCACACTATGTAGCTTAGGTTGACCTCAGACTCATGGGAAATCCTCTTAGGGTTACATGCACATTTGTGTGTGCACATGCACACTCATACACACACACACACACACACACACACACACACACACACACAGTAGTTTAAATTAGAAATGTCCCATAGACTCAGGTGTTTGAACAGGTGGTCCTTGGTTGGTGATGCCGTTTGGAGAGGTTATGGGGAAGTGCAGTCTTGCTAGAGGAAGCACGTCACTGGGGTTAAGCCTAAAAGCCTCACCTTACTTCCAGTTCACTGTGATTCATGCTTGTGATTAGTGATAGGACTTTTCAGCTTCTTGCTGCTACTGCCATGCCTGCTGATTTTGTGTCTCTCTGCTAACATGAACTCTTATCCTGCTGAAACCCAAATGAACTCTTCCTTCTACAAGGTGCCTTGATCATGGTGTTTAATGACAGCAAAAGAAAGTATCTAACATACACAAACATAAACAATACAATAAGTCTTTAAATATAAATAAATAAGAAGACCTTTCTGGTCTCATTTCACATGTTCCTTTCAGCCCAAGATGCACAGTGCTTCGGTCCGCCTGGGCTCCTTGCTATTTCTCTGCAGGCTGCCTGTCCTGTTCTCCATCAAGAACGCCCTTGGTGTTTTCCTTTGCTTAGGACTATGCTTAATATAATGCAGCTTTTCACGTCACATCTTTTCTTTTTCTCAGCACAGTCAGCATCTTCTTAAAAGGTCTTTCCCCACCCTTAAATACCCTGAACAGTGATGTGGCTCAATGATAAAGGTGCTTGGCACCGAGCCTGATGACCTGACTGATTCCCAGGCCCCACATAGTGGAAGGAGAGAACTGAATCCCACAAATTGTTTTCTAATCTTCATCCATGCACACACACACACAAAACAGACAAAAAATGTTTAATGTATAGTTTTTTTTTATACTACAGTGAAGTATTAAAGTGTAGTCACTGAGTGTGCCCTTCCCTGACCTCTGCTTTCTGCAACTAATTTATCTTCCTATGTAAGCCCTGCCTCATCACCACCTACTATTCTGTCTCTGCTATTGACCCCTCTTGGAGTTTGTGGCGTTCTCCATTTTGTGCAGACTCTTGGGTGTCCAGAGTCTGCAGCCCAGTCTCTGGTGTCCCATCCCAGAGTTGGTCCTTTTCTCATTTTCTTTCAATTGTTGTTGTATTTAGTTATTAATATTGGCTATTGTTTTAACTTCTAGTAACACTGTGGGGTGCCATTTGTTGTAGGCGGCTATTAATATTTACTATGGGTTTAACTTCTGGTAACGCTGTTGTTAATCCTCAGCAGCTGTAAAACCAAATCACCACACAGAGACTGGGTTTTTAGTTAATCTAGAACACAATGCTGGGCAATATTTACTCCCTCCTAAACCTCCAAGGCCTCAGTTTCCTAACATTTAGATTTCCCACATTATACTTGCTTTTTGTGAAATCTTAGGTCTGGTTCATGCTCCAAGTCCTCCAAGCTCTCTCCTCCCGCTCTGCTCTCCTCGTGCTCCTCTTCTCGAGCTCCTCCTCCTTCTCGCCCCTTCCTGTTCTCTAGCTCCTCCCCTCTTTCCTGTCCTCTGGCTCCTCCCATTGCACAACATTGTATCTAGTTGCTTTATTTGTGTCCTGTTTACACAAGAGTGAGTATCACAATGCAATATCCAGATTGAAACCAGAGAGTTGGGGGTGGGGAAATCAGCATTTGAATTAACAAGGGTAAGGCATATACATTTTAAAAGAACATTATACCAACAAATTGTTTTTTTTTAATTGTTGTGCACATATATACACCTACTTGTCTGTATGTGTACCACATGTATGCATAGTATTGGAGGGTTTGGAGCCCCTAAAACTGGACTTAGAGGCTGCTGTGATCTGCCCATGTGGGTGCTGGGAAGCAAAAGGAGGTCTTCTGCAGCAGCAGCAAGTGCTCTTAACGGTTGACCTATCTTTTGCTCCTTAAAACTTTTTAGCCCAGGACCTCTTATCCAGTCCCACTGTGTCCCAGCATCATCTGCTTAGATGTGAACATACTGAATATCCATTTCCATTGCTCTTGTCGGTGTAAGTCAGTTGTTACAGGAAAAGCGTTCAGAATAACATTGCAGTACAGTCCATGTGCGTGTCAACCATTGCATCCACACTTACCATTGCCATTACTAGGATCCTCATGACAAATGTCCCAGTTGTGCCTGCACTCCACACCTTCTGGATTTTGTGGTTAAACAGTACATAGAAAAGAGATGGCTGGGATTCGGTTTCTGCTTTAGTTTAGCCATCTTGCCCCCCTCCCCATGATAAAATCTGAACCTTGATTTGTCCATGTATAAAATGGACATAGCATCTATCTGGGATGCTATGAGGAAATTCCAAAATAAAATCTGTATCGAATCTTTGACCTACAGGAAGAACACTATAAAACTTTTTTTTTTTCTCTGAGTAATAGCCCTGGCTGTCCTGGACTTGCTCTGTAAAACAGGCTGGCCTCGAACTCTTAGAGATCCGCCTGCCTTTGCCTCCTGAATGCTGGGATTATTATTTCTTTTGCTTATTGTTTCTTTTGTTTCAGCAGAAAAAAAAAAAAACAGACTAATACAGATACCTTATTTTTGGGTTTTGGAGGCTTTTTTGTTTTATTTCATTTTGTTTTGGAGGAAGGTTTTCTTATGTAAACAGGCTGTCCTTATGTCCCTGTGTTTCTCAAGTGCTGGAATTACAGATGAGTGCTGTCATCCCCAGTGTGACACACTGCACTTAAAATGTTTGCTATGACCCTCTGTCCGGGAATCAAACCCAGGCTCTGGGTTTTGGCAGCAGGTGCCGTTATCTACTGAGTGACCTCGCCAAACAAGGATTAGTTTCTAATGGAGTGTGTAGCCTGACACTGCAAACTTAGTTGGTGAGTTATGTTTCACCTTTTGTTTTTGTTGTGTTTGTTTTTGAGACAGGGTTTCTCTCTGAAGCCTTGGCTGTCCTGGATTCTCTTTGTAGACCAGGCTGTCCTGGACTCTCTTTGTAGACCAGGCTGGCCTTGAACTCACAGACATCCTCCTGCCTCTGCCCCCACAGAGTGCTGGGAGCTTGGGCGTGTGCCACCACTCCTGGCATGTTTCACCTTTTTTTTGTGTTGATGGGAGCAGCTTCATTTCAAGGTCCAGACCACATCCTGTGAGAGTGAGGGTATTTATCTTGTTTCACCAAAATCCTCAAGTATGTTTTTTTCCTGTTCTCCCTGAAGGGTATCCTGTTCAAAAAGTGGAGCTATTATGCCAGCCGGAGCAAGTGCAGGAATCATGGACTGTGGCAAAGTCCCTCTCTGAAAGTACCTGCTTAGGTAAAAGTCCAGGTTTGGACTGGTGGAACAGCATGGAGGTTTGGACCAGGGATCTCCTGGGAAGGTTTTTTTTTTTTTTTCTCCCTCTAGAGATTTTTATTTATGTGTCTGAGGATATGCCACACGTATGTAGGTGCTCTAAGAGGTCAGAAGAGAGTGCCAGACCCCCTGTAGATGAGGTTATAAGCCACTGTGAGTCACCTGATTCCAGTGCTGGGAATTGAACTCAGGTCCTTTGAAAAATCAGCAAGTTCTTAACTACTGAGCCATTCTCCTGGGACACTTCTTAGTATCTCACTTCAGGATTTGGAGCTGTGGAACCCTGTGATCTGTGGCCCTTCTGATTCTCCCAGCCCTGTCCCTTTTGTCACCTCTCTTGGGAATGAGTCAGATTCATAAGTTACTGTCTCAGGACGCTCTCCCTCTACCTGCATGGGCTTGGCCTGGCTTCATGGTCACCAGTTCTGTGGCTCTCATGACATGGATCGGTCACTTATTGGTTTAAATGTGTGCATTACTTCTATTGCTGTGCTAAATGCCATGACCACATTAACTTACAGAAGAAAGGGTTTATTTGGCTTATGGTTCATGAGGGATAAGAGTCCATCATGGCAGGGAAGTGAGATCACAAGCAGCAGAGTTGGCAGCTGGAGAAGCTTATATCTTCAGCCACAGTCCAGAAGCAGAGAGCACTCCGGGAATGGCGCATGGCTTTTAAAACCTCAAAGCCTGCCCCAATGATGTATTCCTCCAGCAGGGTTAACCCCTAAGCCTCCTAATCAGTGCCAGCAGCTGGAGATGTGTATTATATGCCCACGGGGAATGCCGTCATTCACACCACTGAGGTAAGCATGACTAAGCCATGCCAGATTCCAGGCTCACTGGGTCAGGATGTAACTTTTTCTTACCCATTGCAGTATCTGTGAACAGCTGAGAGCTTTGTGCCACACAGCTGTTCAGGGGCTGACACACATTCTGTCAGCAGCTTGTTGCTGTAAGGTTTTCTGCCATTTTCCAGGGACTGAGACAGGAAGACATGTCCTACCCACTTCTAGGAACACCAGTTCTTTTTATCTATCTATCTATCTATCTGAGACAGGGTCTTTCTGTATAGCCTTGGCTGTCCTGGATACTCTGTGGACCAAGCTGGTCTCATACTCACAAAGATCCACCTGCCTCTGCCTCCCAAGTGCTGGGAATAAAGGTGTGAGCCACCACCACCTGGCCAGGGACACCAGTTCTATTAAAAGAACTAGGCATTTGGTCTTCCTGGGGCCTGCAGGGCTGGGATATGTTACTGAGCTATGTATCGAAGAAGAGCAGATGTTTTATCAACATCTGTTAGTGGCCTGCACCCAGTCTGTCCCTGGAAATTGATGGCAATCATTAAGCATGGGGTTCCTTCAGAAAAGATAGAATCACTTCATGTGTTGATACACCAGCATCAGTGTCTGAGCAGGAGGAGGATATGTCTAAAGCTCTATTACTTTTTGTTTACTAAATGCCTTGAGAATTCTAATGTGCCTGTGCAGCCCATGTGGAAGTGAGTTATGTGTGGCCTTTATACCAGATTAGTCATATCTAGTAAATATTCCGCACATTTCTCTCCAGACACCTTAGGAAGAGGTGTCCTTTCTCAGTCTCCCAATTCCATTCACAACTCTGTTCTACCTACTACCCTTTCTAACCTTCTTGTTCATGGGAGTCACTAAAGGTGGCCCCTTGCTCATGTCTCCCTGAATAGTCTGCTGGGTTAGATCTCAGTGGCCCTGTATTCACAGTGTCACGTGGGCCTGTTAAAGCCAGGTACCGTCCATGTGTTGGTTGGCATTTGGGCTTAATGCTTAAAAAATTATTTTACATTTATTTTTTTAGGGGTTGGTGGCACATGTGTGAAGGCCAGAGAACAGCTATGGAGCTGGTTTTCTCCTGACTTTACCAAAGATGGTATTAGCACCTGGATTGAACAGCCAGTAGTGTCTTTACTCTGAACCATATCTCCACATACCTCTTGCCCAAGCCAAACCTTTTTTATTTTTATTTATTTTTTTGAGACAGAGTTTCTCTATTATGTAGCTCTAGCTGTCCTCAAACTCACTATGTAGACTAGGCTGGCTTTGAACTCCCAGAGATCCACATGTCCCCGCTTCCCAAGTGCTGAGATTAAAGGCATCTACCACCATGCTAGTTAGTTATCTAAGTCAAACCTTCTAATTATATAATTTGCTTTTCTTGTGAAGCCAAGCCTTTCCCTGAGTCATCTTTTTTTTTTTTTTTTTTTTTTTTTTTTTTTTTTTTTTTTTTTTT